GTTTCGGAGGAGTATGGGAACGAAAACTGTGACACGAGATTTTTATATATATATAGATATATATATATAAATATTATTATATATATATATATATAAATATATATATATATATATTAATTAACATAATAGATAAAAAATTTTAAATGTATAATATTACCATGAAAATAAATATTAAATATTAACGCGTCGAATGAATAAGTTTAAAATGAATAAATTAATATTTAAATGGTATATAACGGAAAGAGAAGATTCGAACACGCAAAGAATTAAAATACATTTCTCGTGTTGCTCGTTTACTTTCGTACCGAAGGAGAAAGTACCAAGTTCTTTTAAAGAAAGAAAGAAAGAAAGAAAGAAAGAAAGAAAGAAAGAAAGAGAGAAAGAGAAAGAGAAATAAAATACACTTTAGGTACAAACTTTCCACGATGGCGAATAACCTTCGGACTGCTTACATTTAACTTTAAAAACCGATATTCTCCAAGAGTGAGAAAACATTTCACATTTCTTTCCTAAATAAATCACATGCTTCGCATGATTTTTACCAAACCTGTTTATCCTACGAGTCGTATAGATCGTGATTTAGACCTTCTTGATCTAACTCTTCTCCTTCATTCTCTCTCTCTCTCTCTCTCTTTGTCTTCGGTTTCTCTAAATAGAGATTATTATTCTAATAAACGTATTTTCCATAGAAAAATAAAGATGGTACATGGAATATGTCAATGTTACCATGATTCTATTTCATACTTCATAAAAATACAGATTTATAATATAATAATTGTAATAATAATAGTAGTAATAATAAAATTATACGACTAATATTAGTTTATATTTGATATTAATAGATTATATCTTAAAAAAAAAACTAATAATAATACTAATGATTCCATAATTAATGTGATATAAAACAATTTTTCTAATATTAAATTATAATAAAGTAATACGCGATAAATATTCATTAAATATATATATAAACAATGTGTTTTAATTAATAAAAAGTATTAAATGAATAAACAAGAAAAATAAACGCGTACAAAAAAAGTCAATAAAAAAAAAAAATAATAATTAAAAAATTACTGTAAAATGTTGTACTCTATTCTTTTCAAAGGAAACGAATCATCTAAAAACATTGTTAACAATTCTAAAAAATGATGATAATAATAATAATGGTAATAAGACGATGATAATGACTACATTGATAATCATACGGTCTAATTAAAATACGAATGAAAATCTAAATAATAACTCCATGAATAGACATGTTTATGCGTACTACTCGACTATTCCATGTGGGTTTATCAAACAAAGTCTATTATTAGATGGCGACCCATCATCGAAAACATCGTTAAATGATGCAATCAATACGTTTACTCGTTTTAATGTTTTCAACTGATTTGTTTGACCTTTTTTCTTTCTTTCTTTCTTTAATTTATTTTCTTTTTTTACTTACCAAATGTAATGTTTCAGTTTAATACAAATGGCTTCGTCGTTCTCGAAGATTTATTTAAACCGGAAGAAGTGGACGAAATGAAATCTTGCGGGGAAAAATTCACGGAAGCTTTGCCAAATGAAGCGGAAAGGGAAATTTTTAGTACGTCAGACGAACATAGAGATTTAAAAAAAAAAGTAAAGGATTTTTTCTTTTAATATTTAAAATATTATAAATTAATATTTAATACATAAATTATGACAAAATATAGATCAAAAGTTTTCGTATGAAACAAAAGTTTCTTGGTTATTTTAAAAAGTAATTACTTTTCTCCAGAATTTTATAGACCTATTTTCTTTCTCAAATTGCAAAACTACAAGTTTAAAGTAAAAATAAAATGTAGAGAGTAGTTATTTTTTGAAATTACCTAAGAACTTCTGGCCCATCAAGTAACTTTTAAGCCATGATCTATTCTGGATTATAAATTTTGTCTATTACGTTTTAGAGCTGGGATCAATATTTCTTAGACAGTGCGAACAAAGTGTGTCCATTTTTTGAAATTGATGCATTAGAAAAGGATGGTACTTTAAAAGTTGATCCTAAAGTATCTTTAAACAAAGTAAGTTTTTATATTCAAAGTAAGTATTTAATTAATCCATTTTCATTAGATAAAATCTTATATTTCTACTTAATATTTAAGAAAAGAAAATTTAAAAGTATTTATCATTATTGTCTTCGATACTTCGTGTCAATGATCTATGATTTTTCCTATCATTTTGCCGTCTGTTGGTAAAATACTTGAACAAGTTTCAACACAAACTGCACTTGTCGGTAATATGCAATTATTTGTGCATCCAAAGGCAATCTTGTAATGATAAGATAGTTCTCTATGTTATTTATAATTTTTTTTTATACATAGTGTGTCAATTATTTATCATTTTTTTTTTTTATACATAGCTTGTCAATTATTTATCTTTTTTTTTTTTTACATAATTTTAATTATTTATAAATTTATAATATATTTATAAATTTATGAATAATATTTTACATTTTACATTACATACACAATACAACTTAAATTACACTTATTATACAAATTCATATTAATTAATATATTTCATTTTTAGGTAGGTCATGCATTACATTGGCTACATCCGACCTTTAAAAAATACACATTTGATGAACGAATAAAAGAGGTTGCATTCCAATTGGGTTATATAGAACCGGCTGTGTGCCAATCTATGTACATTTATAAAAATCCTGGCAATAATTCGGAAGGTAAAGCAATAACTATTTATTTCGTCCTTTTTTTTTCTTGCGATTATTACGTACAGTTTTAAATAAAACTGATATATTTTTTATTTATTTTTTTCCCTTTATTTCTTTTTCTTTTTTTCTTCTCATTAGGTCAAAGTATAAACAAAAAATATATGACACATTTGTCTGTTTATATAAAAATTTACATAATATAAGATATATATATTTTTTAAACGTATATAATAAATATAAATAATTAATTTATTATTTATATTATATTATACATATGAATACATAATTATTATGAATTGCAGTAATTTTGCACCAGGATGCAACATACTTATACACAGATCCAGTTAAATTACTGGGTTTTTGGATCGCATTAGAAGATGCTACGCAAGAAAATGGTTGTCTTTATATTGCTCCGGGTTCTCACAAAGGTGGTGTTAACGTACGTTTCCTTCGAAATAAGGATCCTGATTCTGAACAACTTTTGATACACGACAAACCATACCCTAGCTATCCATTAGATACTTTCCGACCTGTTCCGGTAACCAAAGGAACTTGTGTATTAATTCATGGTCAAGTGGTACATGGTTCTTTTCCAAATAGAAGCAAAAAGACAAGAAATGCTTATACTTTTCACATTATCGAAACTAAAGATGTGACTTATGCTAAGGACAATTGGTTGCAACCACCTGCTAATGGATTTGCACTATTGTATAGAAATTAAAAATACAACTAATTTTTACAATAAACAATGCAATATTTATAAATATGCGCGTACGTGGCAGGTTGTGCTCGTTTATTTGTTCTTAGCGTTGAAGAAAATTAAAATTTTTAATTAGTTTCTCTGTTCATTCTTTATGTTTAACTTAAAATTATACGAAAGAAAAAAAAATATATTCTTTAATGACGTTTTACTGCTCTTTGTTTTGTTTTTTTTTTCTCTTTATTTTCTTCCCTTTCCTTATTTGCGAATTAAAAAACCGAGTTACATACTTCTGAAACTTGTCAATTTAGAATAATGTATACAAAGTTCTTGTAGCTGCTTTATTCCCTGTTTTAATTGTTCTTCTCTGACTTTTAAACAACAATATAGATCCAAAGGAGACAATTCTTCTCTAAACGTACTTTCAGGAAGAAAATTTTTCAATATTTGGTAAAGATTGATCAATGTTTTATAATCGAGACAATTATCTCTTATTTCTTCTAAAGAGCTAAAAAAAAAAAAAATAAATAAGGAAAAAAGTATTAAAATTTGCCTTTTCAAATAATAATCTAAAATAAAGTATGTTTCGAAATGATGTTTTACTTACTTAGTAAGAGCACGTAACAAATGATTGATGTTTCGTGAAAGTTCTAATTGAACTTTTAGCACGTGATCAGGAGTGACTGATGAATCTAGCGTTTGGAAAAAAAAACTAGTTGGCATCCCTATAATATTTGCAGCCATTCCACTAAAAAAAAAATAAATATATAAAAATAATTTATTTAAAAATTTTTTTATAGAATTATTTCTATTTATGTAAATAAATTTTTGTTTACCCATAATCGCGAGCATATGAATAGATGTGCTCGAAATAATTAAAAGCAATATCTGCTCTATGTTTTTGTTTCATATCGTCATCTTCTCTGCCGATCTTTTCTAGCAACTTTTTCTCACATATCTCGTTTTCGTAATTATGACATTTGTGTTGTAAATCCTAGAACGAACAAAACAATATTAATAACATTATATAGAAAAAATTTTGAATTATATATTAAAAAACAAAAATATATATGAATGATTGTTACTTGAATGGCATTCAATACTCTGGTCATAAGTTCAGAATATTTATCAATATTTATCGTTTGAATCAAGTCATTACACTTTTCCAATAAATAAACAATGTCTTTCAATCTTCGACCGCCCTCTGAAAATGAATTAATCGTTAGTTCTCTATACACAATCTAATTTGTAAGATCATAATATGAAATTTTGACTGACTTGAAAACTCTTTAAACATTTCTGATAGTTCTTTGAGTAAATTTAACGCTTCTCTGTCGAATACTTCGCTAGTAGCAGCTATCCAATGTTTAATGGCACATTTTAAAACACACATAATTGTCCAAGGTGGCTTTACGATAACATACTTTTCCCAAGATTCGTCGTATAACTTTTTCATTTCTTTACTTACTATCTGTAATCATTAATTTCATTCGTATAAAACATGAATATAAAAATATTCTTATTCTTATAAATTTTAGACATATTGATGCACAAATTAATATTTACCACTGTAAGAAATTCTTTCATCACAGTTTCTACCTCTTCGAACAATTCATTAAAATAATTTAATTCTTCTTGGAAAGCTGAAATAATTTGCGAACTATCATCTTGCACCCTTGGAAGAGAAATATCGTGAAAATTTAATATTGTTTTCCTATTCGAAAATATGTAATCTATTTTTTCAAGAGGATCATCTTTTCCAAGTGCTAATATGTCAGATATCATAGCTTTGTTGCAAAGATTTTTGTCGTACGATAATAAAGCCTGTGTTAAGGAATATATACATGAATATGTAAACTAATTTTTTATACATAGAAAGAGAAAAAAAAACATGTATCAGAGATATTAAAGAAATCATTTTTTATCACACGTACCACAGCTTTGTCAGCTTCTCGAATTTGTAAACAAACTTGAAGTATCTCATCATCAGGACATTCAGCAGCAAATTTTTCTTTATTATTCATTACATCCTGTAAGGTCTGACCAACTAAGCGTGGATCTTTAACGGAGAAATGATTATTCAAGAATTGAATAGCTTTTCTGGATTGTTCATGCAAACTTTGCTTAGATTTGGCTGCTTTTAAATAATCTAATTCCTATAAAATAAAATTAATAAAATAGAAAACATGATTCTTCATATATAAAAAAATTTCCAAATAATTTATCTATGTTTCTTATACTTACTCTTATAACAGTCCATGGAATCACAATAATTGTTCTATCGTACGTTATAAACTTTTTATTCATAGCTTTAACGACTGCATTTAAATTTGATAAAAAGACGTTAGTATCTACAACAATGTACAATATGTTATCTTCTTTTTGAGATGGTAAATGAAAAATATTTCCTTCTATCGGTAATTTTACATCTGTTATGCCTTGAGTACATAATTTTATCCTTGCGGCTTGTACCTGTAAGAGAAACAATTTCTTGTATAAAATGCCAATAAGGAATAAATTACTGTTTAAATAATGTCAAATTATTATATTACACAATTATATAAATTAGACATAATAACCTCAAATGTAATCTGTTCGTATTCCAATGGCTCCCAATCCATTTCTTCTTCGCAAATAGAAGAAGACTTATTTAAGGAATTTTCACATGACTTATTATGGGACTGATTTAATATATTACTTTCAACAGACATTAGCAATTCTTCTTCATGGGGGATCTTCTTATTAGATAGAAGTCTATTTTGTAAATGTTTATGCCTTGTATCACTGTTTTTATAAACATCAGGTAATTCTGTAATTAACATTTGAAACGTTATGTCAAATTTTTCAAGCAAAAGCTAATATTTTACAATTAGTCAAATGTCATCCTTTAACGATAATTTACCCGAATTCTTTTGATCTTTTGTTTGAATATTTAATGAATTTCTTAACTTCTCCATGCGGTCTTTAGCCAAATTTTTCTTGATAATATTGCTTCTGTCGATTATAACCTCGTTTGATGTTTTATTTTCTTTAAAAAAAGTAAAAAAAATCATGATCTCGATAAGAATTAAAATAAAGTATCGTTAATATATATACATTTATTATTTATATATATATATATATATAAAAAAAAAAAAAAACAATTATAATTACCTGTTTTCGTTAGCACAAATTTGCATCTTTTATCTGTAGTAGGACTTGACTCTTTTAATGACTTTCTCTTCGTATTATTTTGCATGAAATTCTTATTAATATTTTCTGTAAGATCGCATTCAGGATTGCTAGAAATAGAATTCATAATTTGACTTGAATTGGAAGATTTTGCCATGCTCATTCTTGTACTTCGTGTGCTTCTTCTATTGTTTTCTTTTATCGTACTTTGAATGTTGTCAACTACATCGGTATCTTTAACAATGTTGATTGGTTTTAATGATTTAACCCCTTTCTTCTCCATATTCTTCTTTTGTAACTTTTCATAAATAACTCTCATTTGTGGTGTCATCGTTTCTAGTTTGAAAGTATCTGTTTCTGGTTTGGAAATATCTGTTTCTGGTTTATCCAATTTAGAAGTCGTTGCTTCTGGTATTACAATCTTCTTGCTTTTACTCGAAGCGATATTCGACTTAAACGAATTGGTAAAAGAACTATTTTTATTATTACTTTTATCTCTCTTAAGCTGTATCTTCTTCCTAAGATCTATCATTTGACGCGTATCAACATCTTTTGTAGGTTTAAAACGTTTGGCTACTAATTTTTGCCGTACATTACTTTTATTATTAACTTCTTCATCTTCCAAATCAGGTGTTTTTCTTTTCAATTCAGAAGAACTTCTTTTAAACTGCCGTTTACGTGCTAATATTTTTCGTTCATTACTTTTATTATTAATATCTTTATCTTCAAGATCAGGTGTTTTACTTCTCAATTCAATAAAACTTTCTGTACCTGTTTTCTTTTCCTTTGTCTTTTCTGTTCCCATATAAGAATTCTACAGAAACGAATAAAAAAAAATAAAAAACAAAATTTAATTAAGATCTGATACATAAACATAATTAATATATAAAACATGTACAATTGAAATAATATAGATTCGAATACCATAATTCATAGAAGACTAGTTACAATATTATGAAGTAATAAAGTTATATTTTAATCTAATACATAATATTTTTAATCTAACCTTGTTTGTAGTATCCTGAGTAGGTTCATTCCAAGACGATTCTTTGGTTCTAGTATTAAAATAATAAACTCTATCCTGATGAGTCTTAGATTTGACAACAACCCAGTGTTTTGACAAATTATGTTTCTTCATATTGAGATGAGTAAATGAATGTCAAAAAAAAAAATCTTCAAATGCACTACGTAATAAATTGTATTTATTTACGTCTTGAATGTGATTGAGGTTAAACACATGTTATGCTTCGATTATATTAACGTTCTCTGAGAAACATAAAATCAATAGATTATATTTAATATTGAACAAATACTAAATTATAAAAAAAAAATTAAATTCAATATAAGAAATATAAATAACGACATTCGTAATTAAATATTACTTATCACAAATATACTTCACATGGGATAGTTTAACCAATATAATAGAAACGTCGTAATAAAGGTACTAGTTTTCCGTAAAATGGTAAGATCCCATTGGTTCTTGAATAAACATTATTAACCAATCATATTTAAGTAAATGGCGCTTCGATCGAACGTGTAGTAACAAAACTAATATGGATAAAACTTTTTGGAGGTTACCAAAGATCTAAAATGGCGCCATCTTTGAGTAGGTTAGGAAGCACATTTTAGTCAAAACAATCTCCGAAATCGCAATCTATTTTTAGGTGGCACCCACTGAGCTACGGTACTTGACCGTTTTTCTCGGGCGTTGAAAAAAAGAAACGGGCGGTAGAAGAGGTTAAACGTAAGCTTAGTCGAAGTTTTTCTTCGGTAAAAGGGTTCAACGACCTTTCTCTCTCTCTCTCTGTTTTCTCTCTCTCTCTCTCTCTTTGTCTTTTTCTCTTCGTCTCACTCTATCTCTATCTCTTTCTCTCGTGCTTTCTCTCTCTCTCTCTCTCTCTCTTTCTTTTTCTCTCTTTCGGTCTGTTTCTGTCTTTCTTTCTCTTAAACACAGGTTACATATATAGAAAGCGTGCGTGTGACAAGAGTGCCCCGACCGGCCATGTTTATACCGTGGTGAATTTTGAGCTAAGCGCTCGGACGAAATTACCGCGATTCGATAATTTACACGTGCTCTCCTAAAAAGATATTATCCTGTACGATAAATCCAGGAAGGTGACACTAATACTTGTGAAATGGAATCCAGTGAGAGAGGTGAGTTAACGGTATTCGACGTGAAAATCGCGGCAATATTGAGAGCATCTGACACAAATCGACGGCCCCGGGGGGGCAATGGCAGTGTCAGGGTCGAAACGGAACTAGTTCAGTGACCGCATTCGCGCGATTCCATCGTTTATTTCTACCTTGATGCCCTTTATCTTTTATTTATTACGAGGTATATATCAAATAACATTTCCTTTCTAACCATTTGCGAGAAACCTATCTTTATTTCTCTTACATTATCTTTCTTCTTTTTCTTTATCTTTATCTTTATATCTTACAGCGTTTCTGCTGCGTTTCAAGAACTAGAATTTCTCTCTTTGTCTTTCTCTTTTTCTCTTACCGTAAAAAAAAAAAATATAATTCTACTTACTGCATCGAATCTATGTCATGCGTTCGCATCTTCGCTTTTGAACACGACTGTACACCACTCCTCTCTCTTACTGACACACCAAGCAAACGTTCTATTACCGATCATTTCTTTCCGTTCCTTTTTAACCCTTTTTTTTATTTATCTCCACTTTCTATTTCCCTTTTTTCATCTGTCATCTATCATTTTTTCTATTTCTTTGTAAATCATCTTCGGCCTATTATCATTTTCCTACATTCGGTTTACATATTCGATGGTATTCCTTTTTACTTTATCTGTTTTATAATTTTATTTTCACTTTGCGATAGTCTTTATTTTATTTATTTTACAATTATTTAAATGTATAATTTAAACCAAATGAAAAATGTTATTATATTTTTAAAGGGACACGTAGCGTCATGCTTACTCCGTAAAAGACACGTGAGTATTGTTATTGCTTTAGACGAGTTTTCATTTGGCGTTAGTTGTAACGTGGCGACACCTGTCGTATATTCGTGCACGCCCTACCCCAAGTTCCCGAGGATTAACCCCCAATCTCTCTCTTTCTCTTTCTCTTTCTCTCTCTCTCTCTCTCTCTCTCTATCCTATCTTACTTTTACCCTTATTATACTACACCCTTTTTACTCGCTGATATGGCGGCCGACTAAATTGCAGGTGTCCATAGGCTAATTGTTTATATGTAAGATTTTTTTTTTATTAATTTAAAACAGCAAGAAATTCGAAAATTATTATCAACAATTTGAAGAATTTTATGAAAATTTATTGAAATAATTTACAAATATTTCTTTCTATTTTTTTCAATTAAAAAAATTTTTAAATTACTTCTTCTGTTCCTTTTTGTTCTTCATTTTTTTTTATAGACTATTTTTTGTTTGAAAAAAAACATAAAAAATAAAAAAATACCTTGTTTTTTTTTTATTCTCCAATATTGTTTCATATTATTTAACAATTTTCTATTTTATTTTGGTTTACTATTATTAATTTTTATTATCAAAAGAAAAACAAAAGAATGTGTTATTATCTCGGTCGATAAAGAAGATCGTTGCAAAAGAAAAACAAAAATTCTCGAATATCTTTTCTACGAGTAAAAAATTATTATTACAAAAATGACATCCTCTGTAACACTTCTAATTTCATTTCTATAGAAAAATCTAAGAATTTACAGCAGTTGGCCGGACGTTTTAAAATGATTGGCCGGATGTTTGCAGAATGCCCGAAGTCCGAAGCTAAGAAATTTGGCGAAATTCTTTTATCCGTGGAACGTGATCACGTCGTCCCTTCCTTAGCTAGTTATCCTTCATCTTTAATTCTCTTTCTCCACCCTCCATATCTTTTTTGTCTTCTTCTTTCTTTCTCTGTTGCAATTCCGTCCTTTTCTCTTCTAGCTCTTAGTTCTTAGTCTCTTCCTCGTTATATAAGTCCAAGGACAAGAACTGTGCAGCTCTTATATATATATATATATATCCTTTTGTTTTTCTTTCTTTTTTCTACCACCTTCCTTCTCTTTCTTACACACACATATATACACACGCGTGTAAGCGTACACAGGTACAAATAAATGTTCCTTCTTCGCTTCCCGTTTATTCTTTCAACCACAAATAATTTTTTGAATCGGTAAAATTATCCTCTCTTGTAATCTTAATTTTGCAAAATATAATAAAATAAATATTTAAATTTATTTATTTCTTTTTCATTTTTTTTTTTTTGACTCACAATCAGTTTATTTCTATTATTACCGATACCGTGCATACGCGTATATAAGTTTAACACTAGATATACCACCATTTTCAGTATACCTATTTTTACCACGCTATTCAAAATGACTGGTGTATTAAAAAAATGCTTTTTGAAGCTTCCAGTCTTTATTTACTCTTAAAAAATAACAAAAAATGTTTAACAATAATAATTCTAATAGATAAATGAATTTATAGACATTTTTAAATAACAAAATGCTTAATTATTTATAGAAATCAAAAGTTACGTGAAGTAGAAATTTTGAATTAAAATGGCCCGACTAATCAAAATGACTGGTCAGGTATATCTAGTGTTAAAGTGCATATGTAAATAAATTGGAAATTTTCTTACGTTTCTCACTCTTTCTCTTTAACTTTCTTTTTCTTTCTTTTTATCTTTCTTTCTTTCTATCTTTTATGATGATAATTAAAACAGGAGATTGATATCACGTGGGTGGTAGATATTGTACATGCAAATATAAATGCATATATATTATATATGTGTACATGTGTACTCTTGCTTATTTAGATTATTTCGAGTGTCCTATCGTTTAGGATGTCCTGCAATTATTATAACTCTCTCGTTTGAATCAACTCTACGTAAAGTTAGAGTAAAAAAAACGGTCGAGAGAGAAAAAGAGAAAGAGAGAGAGAGAGAGAGAATTGCGTTAGCGTGGGTTTAACAATTTTTTTGCATGACTCGCGATAGAAAAGATAAGATTATCCAACTCGACTCGACTTGACTTTATTCAAGTTGGTTCTGTCGATTTATACGTTATTTCAAAATATTTGATCATTTTTTATTTTTATTTTTGGATCATTCCGTTAAATATTCTACAATATGCATGTAATTTCTGATGAAATCGATTATCTAATATAATAAATTAAAACAAATCCAGAATGATCTATTGAAATATAGAATAATAATAATTATGAGGTTAGTATTTAATATAAAATGAAGTTATCATCTTTTGTAGAATCGATAGAAAATATATTGTTAATTTATTAAAATATATATATTTTTTTTAATAATAAATATTAATATTATTATTTTGTTTTTTATTTCAATATTTTTTCTTTTCTAAATATAATAAATAATAATATATAGTAGGCCCTAGACTTTCGCACGTAATTGGTTCCTGAAAGTGTGTGCGAATGTTGAATGTTCGAAAGTAGTGGAATGTAAAAAAAATATGCACCAAAAACTGTATTTTAAAGTATTCATCTAAATTAGCAAAATACAACACGTTGATGCACGCCCTAATGCAAGATTGAAACTGTTTTATTTTCTTTATCCATCATGTCATCTGATGGTTAGTCTGATGTCCCCTGAGAGGGAATATCCGATCGCAGAGAAATTGACAGTTAAATCTTTAAAAATGTGCGAAATAGTGAATTATGCGAAAGTAGAAATCGCGAAAGTCGAGGGCTGCCTGTATATAATATAGTACAATATATAGTATATGTATAATATAGTAATTTATTGGGTTGTTCGGAAAGTTCGTGCCGATTTTCGATAAATGGCATTAAAATGTTTTTGCTAAAAAAAACCTGAAAAGTTCTGAAGCACGAAATTTGAAAGTTATTATATTATTATATTTATTATTTATTACTATATTATTTTTATAATTATATATATAGTTATATTTATTGTGTAATAAATATATAACAAAAAAAGAATTTAAATAGGTTGCTGCATCTTCCATCTTCCGTTAAAATTGGCACGAACTTTCCCGACAACCCAATACAATTACGATGATATACTATAATTAAATTTAATAATATATTTTTATATATTAATAATAATAATAAAAAAATGCCGAGGTCTCGATCGAATAATCAATAATATAATCAAAAATGAAAATTAATCAATCGATCTTACTCGACGTAATCTAATACGTAATTTTCATGAATATTTTGTTTCTTTTGGTTTCTTCCACTTATTCGTTATGTATATTTTTTATGTCGTTTTTAATTTATATTTTTTTTTCTTCGTTGATGATACGAAAGAACACGTTGACACAATGCACTAAGGTCGACAATGAATCATGATACGTTCTTGATGCAAGAGTATAACGGGTTTATTGATCGCGGTTCGCTCGATCGTAGGCACTATACTGAAGCATATATAATTATGCAATCGTTACGCAATTCTCGCCAGGTTCTCATGGCAAGTGTTTGTCTCGACCTACTGACATTGGTCTGCTACAGAACGGGACACGCCTACTTGCAAACTTTCAAGGTTGCTAAGCTGTTCACGCTTCGACGATCCTTTCCATTTTTATTTTTTTTTTTGCTACCTCTCCCTCTCTTTTCTCTTCCTCCTCCTCCTCCTCCTCCTCCTCCTCCTCTTCATCTTTTGCTTTTTTCCCCCTTTTATTCCTTTCCCACCTCTCCCCGCCTCGCCCTGTCCCGTCCCCTTTTTCCTTTCCTTTTCTTCCCCTTTCCTCTCTCCACCCTTTCAACTTTTTTCAATTCCAGACAAGCTGATCCTTGCAATGGAGGAAGGATGAATAAATTCTTTCGAAGATATTTTTGTGCGTGCTGCTTGCTGCTGCTGCTGCTGCTGCTTTTATATT